TTAGCGATATACTAGATTCCAGCAGTTTATGATCAAAGGAGTTGACTGAAGATGGAGTTGTTAGGCTCGACCAGTCAACTGTTGGGGCGGTGAAGTCGCCGACTACGAGACTTCGACATTTCGAAGTCCAGGAGCCTAGCTTCTCCATCAGGAAGTCATCTGAACTGCGGCCAAGACTGCGGTACACAGCAATGAGGTCAATGTCTTGGCCTATGCATTTAAGTCTGCAGCGTAGAAGTTCGCACGACTCACTTTCATGAGCGAGTGCTTCGATACTACGCACGATTAGTCATTTCTTGAAGTAGATGACTACACCACCTCCCTTGCGGTCTAGTCGGTCCAACCTATGCACTTCGAAGTTTGGCAGGTTAACTCCGTTGTCAGTGACATCGAGTGTGAGCCATGTTTCTGTGATAATAATTACATCCGGGTTTCCGGAGTCTATCATGTTAACCAGCTCAGTCCGTTTATTTAACAGGCTGCGGTCATTTTTGTAGCACTGTTAATTCAGATTGGTGCTTCCCCGGCCTACCCACAGAGGTTTCGTGATCATTAAACTGCTAACTCGGACAACCCGAAAACCCTTAATCTTAAGGTTCTTCTCGCCGTCCCGGTGTCGCTCGCTTAATTCTAGTGCCACAGCCTGTCTTTTGACGCGGTCTGCTAGGCTTAAGTCAGTGCGGACATATATCCCTGATCCTTTGAAAGTATGAGAGTTGTTTAGAATAGCATCCCTCTCTTCTTTCGAGTTTAGTACGACTTTGAGGAGACGTGTAGGCTGACTTAGTGTAGGGTCAGGCTTTTGTCTGATTCTATATACGCCGTGTATAGTAATGCCTGATACAGTTTGTGGCAGTAGCTTGTCTAAAAGGGGCTTAGCCAAGTTAAGGTCATGCTCGAATCTGGCCTTGGGACCGGGGTCCAGTGACTCTTCCACTTTGTGGAGAATGAGTGACCTGTCAGAGAGATCAGACAGTCTTTCCATTACTGTCACTGGAAGACTTATCCAGTATCGTGGGGGCAGCCCCAGTCTCATCCTAGGCAGATCTCAAGTGGGGTCGTGCAAGGTAGTGTCCTAGGTCCACTTTTATTCACAGTCTACATTAACAGCATTTGCAAGTGCTTCACCTTAGGCAAACCATTCCTATATGCTGACGACCTCAAAGTCGTCTACTCCTGCTACAGTCATGAATTAAGCGATATGGTTACTAAAATACATCTTGAACTAAGTAGTCTCGCATCATGGTGTGCCGATTCCTGTCTGAATTTTAACATAGACAAATGCGGCTGGATTTGTATTGGCAACAGTAACCTTGGTCTAACTCTTGAAATAAATGGGCGAAAACTAGCTAAGCTCAACTCAGTCGTAGATCTCGGTATTAGATACTCTAGTAACCTAACGTTCGCTGAACAGACTGATTATGCCAGACGTAAAACGCGAAGGCTGATAGGATGCATAACACGCAATTTCTTTTGTTGTGAAACTAGGGTTTTATTATACAAAGTATGTGTCCGACCTATCTTAGAATACTGCCCGTTTATTCTTAGCGGACTAAGACAAAATGACAAGCTTAAATTAGAGGGAGTGCAACGACAGTTTACCTCAAGAACTCTTGGTTTAGAAAGTGGTCTGGAATACCATGAGCGATGCGTAAGACTAAGATTAGAACCCCTCTGGAAAAGACGCCTTAAGCTAAACCTTATCTTTTACTATAAGCTAACTAATCTTCTCTTGCATTCCTCCGAGCCAATAACTAAACCTGCCGCTGTCACCAGTTACAATCTTAGAAATCATCACAACCTAGCTGCTATGGAGCACTGTCAGACTTACGTGCGGTACAACTTCTTCTTAAATAAGTTTTCAGTCATTTGGAATAGACTACCAGCTAATGTGCGCGATGCAAACACACTTCCAGTGTTCATCTCCTCAGTCACCAGACTACTCAAAGATGACAATGCACCTTTGCGCCTGACTCTTACACCTTCTTTTTCACCATACATAGATATTTTAAGTTCTTTAAACGTGTAGTTACAACAAACTACAATTATAAATTTTAATATTATTGGAACTAGATGATAAACATTTCTACACAGGACAGTAATATTAGTTCACACATAATATAAAAGTTAGCATAACGGGACTAGTTAGTTAATGAACAAAAATAAGCATAGTTACAAAACAGAATATATATGTATATATTTATTAATCACTCCTTAAGGACTCCCGTTGCTTTCTTTTGGGTTGCTGTTGTTTGTCTTCTTTTTTCTCTCACCATTTCAGCTTCCATTTGACTTTTTGAATGAGAATGAATAATGTGGATATTTGACGATTTACAATGACAAATGATCTGCAAACATTATTGGTCCAGTATCTTTCAGTTGCCTGGTTAATAACGAATTGACTTTCTCCACGACGCAACCTGGATTACATTTGTGGAATATACTCTTATACCAATGGAAAAGTATCTATTTGTAATACAACGTCACGATTGTAGCTTATAACATAACTGATCGTATCTGTAAAAATAGCTTTCTTATTACCCAATTTGGATATTAATCAAATCAAAAATAAGATTCAGATTTGTACAAACCCAAGTTATATTGAGGAATTACTTCAAGCTTTATTTTTTCCCAAGTATTTTTAATCCATCCAAAACTTACTTGGGTTTTTTTGTTAATGCGAAGTTAATATTCCTATATTTCATGACGTGCTCCATTGAATGACTGGTTATCATATTGTTCCCACAGACCTAAGACAAAAACGCCAGCAACCATGTAACTTAACCATAAACCAAATTTATGAAATTTATATAATGCTTATCCATGCCTGTATATTTGGTGTGTCCTACACAAGTAGGAAAAAATGTGTATTTTATCAAAACATTATTATTAATTATGATTGCTAATCGTATATGTAATTTATCATATTGATGATGCCTGTAAACTGGCGTCTCTCATGTACAAAATGAGAATATACTATTATTATTATTATTATTATATCAGCTTTCCAAACGTTGGGTCGAGCTGGGGTTTTGGCCCTTGCTGCCGTCGCTGTGAACATGAAAGTGAGTACAGCATGGTCACTTCTTCTTAACAGAGGAAGATGTTTTATGAGATCCACATCCTCACAGTGGAAGAACACTAGGTCCGGAGTTGAGGAGGAGTGTTGTGAATCATAGCGGGTGGGCTTAATGATATGTTGGATTAGGGTTAGCGATATACTAGATTCCAGCAGTTTATGATCAAAGGAGTTGACTGAAGATGGAGTTGTTAGGCTCGACCAGTCAACTGTTGGGGCGGTGAAGTCGCCGACTACGAGACTTCGACATTTCGAAGTCCAGGAGCCTAGCTTCTCCATCAGGAAGTCATCTGAACTGCGGCCAAGACTGCGGTACACAGCAATGAGGTCAATGTCTTGGCCTATGCATTTAAGTCTGCAGCGTAGAAGTTCGCACGACTCACTTTCATGAGCGAGTGCTTCGATACTACGCACGATTAGTCATTTCTTGAAGTAGATGACTACACCACCTCCCTTGCGGTCTAGTCGGTCCAACCTATGCACTTCGAAGTTTGGCAGGTTAACTCCGTTGTCAGTGACATCGAGTGTGAGCCATGTTTCTGTGATAATAATTACATCCGGGTTTCCGGAGTCTATCATGTTAACCAGCTCAGTCCGTTTATTTAACAGGCTGCGGTCATTTTTGTAGCACTGTTAATTCAGATTGGTGCTTCCCCGGCCTACCCACAGAGGTTTCGTGATCATTAAACTGCTAACTCGGACAACCCGAAAACCCTTAATCTTAAGGTTCTTCTCGCCGTCCCGGTGTCGCTCGCTTAATTCTAGTGCCACAGCCTGTCTTTTGACGCGGTCTGCTAGGCTTAAGTCAGTGCGGACATATATCCCTGATCCTTTGAAAGTATGAGAGTTGTTTAGAATAGCATCCCTCTCTTCTTTCGAGTTTAGTACGACTTTGAGGAGACGTGTAGGCTGACTTAGTGTAGGGTCAGGCTTTTGTCCGATTCTATATACGCCGTGTATAGTAATGCCTGATACAGTTTGTGGCAGTAGCTTGTCTAAAAGGGGCTTAGCCAAGTTAAGGTCATGCTCGAATCTGGCCTTGGGACCGGGGTCCAGTGACTCTTCCACTTCGTGGAGAATGAGTGACCTGTCAGAGAGATCAGACAGTCTTTCCATTACTGTCACTGGAAGACTTATCCAGTATCGTGAGGGTAGCCTGGGTGTCTGGAATGTGGTGGGTGTCCTTCTGTGCTGAAGGGCACTCACTTATCGGCCAGGTCGCATCGGGGATATGTGCTGTTTTGTCGATGATGCTAGTCACGTCATCGTTATCTGAGCAATAGTCGGTATTCTCCTGTGGTGGAGGACGCTTGCAGTCCATGAGCTTTAAAGCCCCACTGAGAGTGGCAGTGGCTTCTGTAATACAGAATTTAGTTGTCCTACAGTAGTCGTTGCACAACCAATTTGCTAGAGGTTTGCAGCAGCGTTTGTGTGTATCGGGAGTAAGGTTCGTGCACATAATATGAAACCATTTTTTTCAGTTATCACACTGCATTCCCTCATCCACTGGAAACTGGCACACAACCCTTCAGCAGCGGTTTCTTTTGATAGGCATGTTATTTAAAGCGGACCAGAGAAAAATAAAATATGACTTCAGATGTACATAACCTTTATAAATCAGTGATAAAAAGCCAATGAGTGGACAAAAATAGATATATATATATGACTATTAAGTTATAAGAACACAACTTCCTATAATTTAATAGACTCAAATCTGAAACTTAAACTACGTTCGATCAGAATAAACTGATTTTAAGTTAATCTGTATACTTTTGGAGCATATGACACAACAAAAGCCAATACTAAACAAGAGCGTGTATTCACTCCCTTTTCAAAGCTCGCGCGGTAGGTATCTTTGCTTTTGACTGATTTCATGGTTCACTAAAGATCACGACCACTTTTTAGCGACAATTAATGGCTGAAAAAGTATTGTTTATGTGAGCTTATCGCTTATTGTTAGATTTGGAGGTAGTTTGTTTTACTGTGTCAAATAGCTAACTAGCGTCTACATCTCATTTTCTCTTTGGACTGTTTTTTTGCATTTGGATATTATGGCTTCTCCACAGATGCCTATTAAGTTTCAGGAACACTTACAGGTGAGGAATAAAAGAAATTTAAATATATTAACTTTGTTGTAGCTGGTTAACATCGGTATCCAGCCCAGTAGTATAGGTTTTAGTACTCTTACCATGGAGTCGGATAAGTTTATTTGTGTTAGGGAAAAAACCGGAGAAACATCACAGGTTGTTATTATCGACATGAATGATCCAATGAATCCCACTCGTCGACCTATTTCGGCCGACACAATCATTATGAATCCTGTCAGTAAGGTGATGGCACTGAAAGCTGGGAAACTGCTACAGATTTTCAACATTGAACTAAAAAGCAAAATGAAGACGTATACAATGCCTGAGGATGTCGTGTTCTGCAAATGGATTTCTGTTAATACCATCGCACTAGTAACTGCCACCAGTGTATATCACTGGGCCATGGATGGTAAGAAATCAATCATATGTAATTAGGCTTTTCAGGTGATTCGAATCCTGTCAGGATGTTCGATCGCCATCAGTCTCTTGGGACTAACTGCCAAATTATAAGCTATCGCTGTGATCTGAGTCAGAAGTGGTTGTTACTGATTGGCATAGCCGCCCAGGACAACCGGGTCGCTGGATACATGCAGTTGTATAGTGTTGAACGAAAAGTTAGCCAGCCGATTGAAGGACATGCCGCTGCTTTCGCTCGATATAAAGCTGAAGGCAATAGTAACCCTTCCACATTGTTTTGCTTTGCATCACGCAATGTTCAAGCTTGCAAATTACACATCATTGAAGTTGGTCAACCGCCTGCTGGTAATCAGCCATTTGCTAAGAAAGCTATCGACGTGTACTTCCCACCAGAAGCACAAAACGACTTCCCTGTCGCTATGCAGGTATGTTAGATACAATAAATATGTTCACTTTTAGACTTCTCCGAAGTACGACATCATATTTCTAATAACGAAGAGTGGATATTTACACCTCTATGATATCGAGAGTGGCACGTGTATATATATGAATCGTATAAGTAGTGAGACTATTTTCGTTACTGCACCTTATGAACCAACAGCTGGTATTATTGGAGTTAACAGAAAGGGTCAGGTAAGCGGGTTTATGCTTTAGCTGCATTATAGTTAATCTATCGTTAGCATTTTTTCTGACTTTCCTGTTATGTGTGAATAGTATTTGTGGTGCTCGTGAATGTGGTCAGATGTTTCACTGTTTACTGGATTCGTAGTCTGAACTTCAGTCATCGGTAATTTACTGGACGTATTTTTTGATCTAAGGAAGATTGTAATCCCAATGGCTACAATAGATGTCCGAATCCTAATGTAGGATGTTAGCTTCAGTCAAAGGGGGATGGTGATATCCTCTGCAATTAAACTTATACATTTTATTACGTCTCAACTCTTGTGTATCGATTACTCAAGAATGCTATAAGCTGTCGAAACCAGTTATGTTGGGGCAAGTCTTCGACAGGTTGACTGGTCTCAGTCTTTGTTGAGTCCACGTATGCAAAACCACTAACTGAATATTGACTATGCAGAGTGGAGTAGCAAGATGGTCATCGAAGTTTTAAGGATATTTGAGCTTTGATAATCGGTCTACGTCATACAGACTCTGGAACTATTGACATTTATCTTATCCAACTCCATTGTCTTAGATGAGCACCTGGCTGACACATTAGTCATGAACCGGAATTCTATCCCTTAAATTTTGCGTGACTAGATAACTTTATTTTTTTCCTTCACGTTCCCAGTGAGACTTAGGGCTTCAAGCTAGAGGCAGTGTTTATTGTTACAGGATGGGGTAGCTAGCCTCATGCCCACCCTTTCCTCGTTACCAGTCTTATTGCTGGCTTAGCGAGGTAAAGGAGTGCGTCCAGTAGCCGGGGATCGAACTCCGAACCATGTGCATGGCCGGCGAGCGTCCTTACCACTGTGCCGCCGACGCACTGATAGTTTTATAGGTTTTCATAATGAATGTTGAGTCACCATTTTGCCACTGAACTTTTGCATTTGCTAGGGATAATTTCCTGTTCTGAGTGGATAGGGTGTTTTCATCAACATGGATTATCCGTAACTGCCTTGTAGTACCAATGTAGTAATTGAAGAGTACTATACAGATTGGCTTCTATTTGTCGCAAAGTGTTTAATGTGAACATTGTAAGAAACAGAAACCAGTTTCTGTTGTTTCTTCATACACATGATAGACTAAATGTAACTGATCAAATACAAAAACCCAATAAGAAATCCAATCTTCCAGGTCGAAATGTCTTTGTATTTCAATAGTTATTTATCAACGTGAACATGGAGTTTTATTAGTATGGTACCATAGTGAGTAACTAAGTTTAGGATAGTCATTGTTTTATCTTCGACCGCTGTGCATGGAAATACAGCCATTATTAGTGGTTAGTGTGCTATAAATACTCAGGCAATGGAAGGCGACAAATTCCTACAGCATGACCATAACATTGCAAGATTATCTACCGAATTTCTTAAGCAGCGACGGAAGCGCATAGATTGCAGAGCATTTTGGGTTCACATTGTTACACTATTTTCATTCATGTAATCCTAATCACTCGCACAGAAAGGGTACATGCACTTTATTTTACCGCTTACTTCATTGTTTACGTTTATTGGTCCCAGTTCATTTAACGATATCGACTTCAATCGATAGGATTAGTAGTTATAAATGGAATCAATTCTATTGTGTCAGGAATATATCATAACTGTGTAACTGTTTGTAGCTGTGCAGTTTTTTGATTTGTCATGCTAACGGTATATATATCTTTTTGTGTTCTATAGAATGTATTTATACCGCGTAATTTTATCTGAATTGCCAAGTTTCATACTTTTATAGGTACTGTCTGTCAGCATTGATGAAGATACTATCATTAGCTACATAACCACTACATTAGACAATCCTACACTTGCACTACAAATGGCTTCTAGATGCAATCTCCCTGGAGCTGAGGACTTATTTTTCAGAAAGTTTGACTCTTTATTCCAGGCGGGTCAGTACAGTGAGGCTGCAAAATTAGCAGCTAACGCTCCAAAAGGAATATTGCGTACTCCGCAAACAATCCAACGCTTTCAACAGGTAGGTTTTCGTGGGCTGTCTACAAGTTTTTCCTGTTTTTAATGTGACTTGTAACTGCCCAAGGTGTTTGCCTTTAAATATCAACCTCAGTGTTTTCATGTAGGAATTCCGTCATGTGAACAATTAACATTTGTTTTTATTAATTTCTCACAACACTAATCATTGCAAAGTATTGCCCTAGAACCTATCTTCACACCACTTTAGTCTTAAACTAGAGGGGAACTTAGCTAACCTTTTGGAGTTCGTTACGACGTTGTCATAGTTGTATACACTGATGGTGACTGAAAATTCGTACATATATACTGATAGTTTGAAATATCAAACTTTTAGTCCTTCTTTAACAGTTTCATTATTTCTCAGATGTGTTATTTAAAAAATGTCCATCATTTTGAGTACAAAAGGATGTATCAAACGAAATAATAGCAAAAAATAACCTAAAGGGAACTAACATAATTGAGGGATAGCAGTATGGGAGCAGATAAGCATACTTATTAAGAACATTCAAGGCGGGCATTCATCAGTTCGCATTGCTATCAAAAAGGGAAGAAAGAAGGAAAATAGCACGTTCTCCAGTGATTTTAGTCATGAGTCGTATTTCATAATGTCTTAGGTCACTGAGTTGCGTGATCTCTCTTGAACTCAACCTAGGGAATCATGCTAATAATCGAACACAGCTGTCCTTCATCTCACCGTACCACATGATGGGTTGCCCCCTTCTACTTTTATCATTCAGTTTGAAAAATAGCTAACAGTGGATGGTATGGAAGCGGTTGTGATAACGTCCGTAGCACATATCCCAATGTGACTATCACCATGTCTAAGCACACTCTCTGACCTCAAAGTTACTTAAGCGGTGATACCACTGGAGGCAGCGGTGACTGAATACGCAGAGACACCGTGCACCGTCAGCTCAAAGAGACTAGTGGATCAAAAGTGCGTGGTTCGAAGCACTGTAAGCCCAACGTCTGAAGTCGCGATAACACCGTCGGTGGCCCAGACTGGCATTTGCTTTTCTTATTTTCATTATACGATTGGAAATTTCATTCGTCATACTTTTGCCAGCACTCACACTGACTACATGACTTCTCAATCCCTAACCGTTTACTTGAAAAGATGCGTGCGGTCACTGTCGCCTGTCAGTTTTTCTGCACGTCATATCCACAAACATCGCCAACTGTAGTGCAGACATCAGCGTCTACATAGTTACGTTAGTATGTTTAGAACGAATTTCATAGTCACCTTCAAACTGTAAAAGAATGATTAGAATCTAGACAAGTGCTGTAAAAGTAACTGCACTTCTGTTTGCACACACGCCATTGGTAGTTGGTGGTAGCAGTGTGATGTGTTTTAGTTCGGGTCTGAGTGATAGTAGGAGGGCGACCTCCATCGCCATAGCAGGGACTGTACTGGGAGTTGATGCTGGCTAAAAGTAGACTGTGATCTGTACAAAACTTGAGAAGACTGTCCTCACTGTTTGACCTCTGATCATGAAGTCTCCATCGACGACTTAAATGACTGAGTCTGGAATCCCGACTTGTGATTTCAAGTTTTCATCCAGTGCCATGATATCTATCGAGTGCACCTGGTTGAAGACACTTAGTTGGTAGTAGAATTCATCTTTAATTCTAACTAGGCTGCAATATGTAGGTGCTTATGCACAGATGATGGAAAGGCAATGCTTTTCTAGTTGTTTCTACAGGGTCCTCGGATTAGGATGGGTAAAAAGCATTACTCAACGGGACGAATGGGGAGACTATTCGAAACACTTCAATGTAATCTTGTGCATAAGAGCATACGTTAACATCGACGTTTTCTAGGGTTCTAGCCAAACATGACTGTTGCCTTATTTGTATCAGATAGAAAAGAACAAGAAGTTCAGTTAATATATCTTTTCAGCGATTTTGTTCTCACAAGTTGTACAGTCGCATTTATATACGTAAGTGTGCATAGTTGCAGTTATCATTTAATTGCACATAATAACGAAGACTAAAGGTGACGATAATTTTCAGCTTGATATGAAAATTCGAAGGTATTAGTGTAGATAACAGCGAGCTTAGAGACACAATTACACAAGATTGGAAAATAGTCTTTTAACAGATACAGATGTGAACTGGATGAGGGTGGAAACAAATTGAAATAATAGTTTTTTTTATATCTGAAATGAAAAATAGAAAGGAATGAAAAAAAAGAAAACTGAGGAGTCAGACCGAATTAGATTCATGGCAAATGTGGAGGTTGAGCTTTTTTTTTGAAGAACGTAGCTCCTGCTTTTCAGTTCATATGGAGAGGGCTTCAGTTCAATGATGAGTCATTTGGTGTGCTGTGGACGAGCTGTTCTATTATGGCTCAACATCAACATACACTCCCGTCGTAGATGGCAAGCTTGGGCTCAACACGCTAGATATCTCAGTTGGAGGCCAACTTCCTGGAAGTAGCTAGTTCGCAACTAAAAAAGGTACTAATAAGTTGAGATCTCAATCAGTGACGAGTAGCTATCTCAGGGCCAGAGCTTCTCACCGGACTGGTGGACGGGTGCCCTACCTAGAGTATACAAACCTATTTTGGTCTATACCAGCTGCGGTAGTGTTGTGACTGCTGACGGTACTCTGCCACTTTATTGGTCAGACTTCAGGTCAGATGTTCGTGGAGTGGTCCCTTAAGACAACCATGTGTTTGTATCTAGTCATATGAGGAATATATCAGCCTCCCTCAAGATATGAAATGACAAAGCTGACTTGTCTCCACGCTTTCGCAACACATTTCACCTCTTACCTGATCAGTCATATTCGGTCATCTTATGGGCTATCATTATATTCTTATTGTTACTCACTTGTCAATAAATATTGGTCTCTACTGTATTCTTTAGTACATGTGCTGATTTTGTACCTAAAATACAAGCTGTATTCACCGTTTTAATAGGTTGCAACTGCTCCTGGGCAGACATCGGCACTGTTACAATATTTTGGAATTTTACTCGATCAAGGTCAACTAAACAAATTTGAGAGTTTAGAGCTTTGCAGGCCAGTACTACAACAAGGTAGAAAACAGTTACTGGAGAAGTGGTTAAAGGAGGATAAATTAGAGTGTTCTGAAGAGTTGGGTGATCTTGTTAAGCAGGTAATTTCTATTTTTTTGTCTGTTGTTTTCGTGTGACACAAATTGTTAACTTTTTAACTGGTTTGTATAATGAGGTGAAAACGAATTAATTGCAAATGGATACATATGGTCAAGTAAATTAAGCATAAGTTCTGCACCCAATTATTATTTTAGGTGAAGTTGTAGTTTAGTGTCTTTTAATGTGTATTATGCGCTGGAAGCCGGCTTTGTTTATACACCTTTGGGTGTTGCAGTAGGGTCTTCAGCTCTTGTATGGCAGGTGAAGGTCAGCATATGAATGTGAAGTCGTGCTATTGTTTATTTTTTCCGAAGCATATACACTAACTTTGTACCTTGCAATAGTTGGGATCTAATTATTGGTTGTAGCACTTTGAAAATCAGATTTCGTAATGTTTGGAAAGAATTCATCATGTATATAGTAAAGGTTTATTACACTTATGGGATAGATACAAAGTAATTTTTGCTCAAAATTGTCATGTATTCCTCGAGTAGATCTTTGACCTGTTTTTTTGCTTAGCACTGGGTCAAGATGAGTGATCAAACTTTAAACCCTATTTATCCTATATGGTTGGATAGCTTCGAGTATCATAATAACATATCCGTTTACCGGCCTATTAGGGGTTTAGTATCACAGCTCTTCCGTAGCGTACCAAAACAGCAGTTTTAAAGGGATTTAAAACAGTTTCGTCTTATTTTTAAGTCGAGTTTGGAAACATTTATTTCCCGAAACGAATTTAAAACAAGCAACAAAGGTTAATAAGGAAGGATTCAATGAATCCACCAGATTTCGGTAGCACTCTTCAACTGAACACTCCACATACAGGGATAAAAAGACTGTGGTGTCCGACAGGGATGTCCACTTTCCCCATTTCTGTTTAACTTCATCATAGATATGCTAATGGAAGTATCCTTAACTGAACGTAGTGACTTAGGAATCGACTTGTTACCAGGGAATAATCTAATGGACTTAGAATATGCAGATGACATAGTCCTGTTAGGGGAGGATGCTGACAAAATGCAGAGTCTTCTGAACACCTTGAGCAGCAATCTTCGTATGTTTGGCATGCGATTCGCCCCTGCAAAATGTAAGATGCTGCTACAGGACTGGACGACGTCAACCCCTAACTTAGTGATAGGGAGTGAAGAGATAGAACATGTTGACCACTTCACCTACTTGGGAAGTTGTATTAGCACCAACGGACTGATTGGCGATGAAATCTCAGCACGGATCCAAAAAGCTCGAGCTGCTTTCGCTGACTTACACCATCTCTGGCGTAGGCGTGACATCCGGTTATCAACCAAGGGACGTGTGTACTGCTCAGCAGTTCGCTCCGTCCTTCTCTATGGCTCTGAAACATGGCCAATACGCGTTGAAGACATGAAAAGGTTGACTGCTTTCGATCATAGATGTCTGCGATCTCTGTCTCACGTTAGGTGGTTTCACAAAATAAGTAATGTTGACGTTAGGCGTAGAGTGTTGGGCAAAGAGGGAAAATCAATCGACGAGGTTATAAAGTTACATATACTAAGATGGCTAGGTCACGTGCTGCGCATGCCTAACCACCGCCTCCCCGACGGGCATTGTTAGCTGATATAGGTTCAGGTTGGAAAAGAGCCCAGTGGTGGCCAAACAAAAACATGGCATCAATCCATGAAATCCTTGACAGTTAAACTGAGTCAGGTAGGGAGATGCAGACTCCCGGGTTGGGGCCCTCGGGACTCTAGGAATCAATGGCTGGAGACAATAGGTGACATGGCTCAAAATCGTTGTCAATGGCGCAGATGTATTCAATCTCTGTAATCTTTCATATTCCTTTCTACCATTACCCATTCTGTTTCACTCTTATACTTGTCAAACTCTATTAATTCTCTTCACTCATCTTCTTGTCTACCTCTGTGTGCTATTTGGAACGTGGCAACTGGAACTGCTGCACTTCGGTGCCAAGTTCTATGTTGAATCCAGACAGACAGAAAAAGACTGTTGGAAATAAATTGGGAGATATAAGACCGATAGTAACACTATCCAAATAAACTATACTGAATTAATCATGCTAAACGTACGTGTGAGTGTTTTTCAGGTCATGTTCAAATAGATAAAAGGAAGGGAGCATAAAAGATTGAAATTAAGATAAAATGTATTACACTTCAATTACGTCACTTGGATAAACAATTAGTCATCAGAGAAAGAACTTGAGTATGCCAAGGATTGTGAGCCGATTTATACTACTAATAATAATAGTTACAGTAATACTGTTGAAACGAGTTAAGATGATCCTACTGATAAAAGATAGTTTTAAATGATTCAGGAATCATAGTAGAATAAAGTGTTAATAATAATAGTTAATAAGGAAAATGTGTTACCATGGCTACCAAGTTGAGTGTGTTGGGGTTCTTGCGAAGTTGTTTTGCAGTATTTTTTTAATTTTTCATCATGATTGACTTGCAGTAACTTTTTGAATCGAAAAGTTGAAAGCAATTTCTATGGATTACTTCCCCAATAAGTTTGTTTAATAGTGAGCTCGTTAACTTTGCAAGGCGTGTCTTTCCTTTGAAGAATTTTGTGCTTAATAATTAACATTATGTTTTTCTTTCAAAGGCGGATCCTACTTTGGCGTTGTCTGTCTATCTGAGAGCTAATGTGCCGCCAAAGGTCGTACAATGTTTCGCGGAAACTGGCCAGTTTCAAAAAATTATAGTTTACGCCAAAAAAGTTGGTTATACCCCGGACTATATCTTTTTGTTGCGCAATCTTACTCGTATCAACCCTGATCAGGGTTTACAGTTTGCTCAGATGTTAGTCCAAGATCAAGAGCCTTTAGTAGATTTAGAACAAGTTGTGAATGTTTTCATGGATCAAGGTTTAGTACAGCAGTGCACATCATTTTTATTAGACGCATTAAAACATAACCGACCCTCGGAAGGACATCTTCAAACTCGTTTATTAGAGATGAATCTTATGTCAGCTCCTCAGGTGAGTTTTTGTGTTAATTGTATTGGTTGTCAGCCACAAGTGAATTATTTATTTGCTCTAAATTTTCATCCTTAAATGTATTTATTTTAGACCAGTGTGTGATAATTTAGTATAAGGAACCATGTTTCTTAAGTGACTATTGGTAAAAGCTCTTACTACCTTTGTATTGAGGCATTAAAGAGATTTAATATTAGATCACCATCGCATTAGTATCATGTTAGCCGCGGCTACTATACGAATTTGTCTCACCTCTTGATCAACTTTTACGTCATTATTACCTAATGTAAATAATTTCAATGTGTTCAGAACATGAAAGCAGTATTAACGCCTTAAGAATATGATGCTGAGGTTAGTTTGGTTCGATAGTGTATTTGTTCCAAAGCATTTTTATTTATTCTCTTGCCTATAATACTCACGTTACATGGTTTTTTGTTGCAGAATTAAAAGCAATTAGCTGTTAATTGTTTTACGATTAGAGATCCTTGAAATGTCTTACTTAAGCAAATGAAAATACAGTTTTCATGCAAGTTGTCGTATTATTTTAGTAGTTTTGGGTAAAAAAAAACCATTTAGTAGTGCTTTTTGGGAAACTAATCACTTTTTCTATCTTATATTTATTTAAAAATAAAGTTATTTTTAACATCTTAATTTTATTGGTACTGGGTCCAAAGCCTACTGTTATTTTGCGCTCTAACACGTGATTTGAAGTGATAGTGTAAAGAAGAAAAGACTGATGAGGCTCGAAGGCAATGTTTATTGGGACAAACGCGTTGTAGGTAGATAAATTTGATATACCTTATCTTTAAGTCTTTATTTGCACATCATTTGCAAATTGGTCAAATATCACCACATTCGATAGCGTTTTAGATTGTGAACAATATTTTAACGTCCTTCTCGCAGTTCTCTTCATCGATTGTTTTTTCCTAGTGCCCAAAACATTGTTGCTTTTGCGAGGTCGCTTACTGATATACTACTTATATCTGACTTAAAGTAGCACTCACCACAATAGCAGTTATGAATGTGTATAAGTATTGGGAGGTAATGGCGACAAAAAGAAACAAATTATTGTGGAGCACTAAAGACTAAATTTGGTTTATTAAAGCATATCAAGGAGATGACTTGTATGAAAAAACGGATTTAAGGATTTTCGGAACTCACTGAAATGTGATTTCACTGGCCTAATTTACACGCCAGTTTCTTGCTAAGAAGAACATATCAAGTTAACCAGTTTAGAATACACTCAAAAGTAAAATGATTGTGTTCTTGTGAATATCTCTGGTTTTGGATAATAGACTTTATACTTAGATTAACGTCCAAAGATTTTCACTCTGCAAATTGGCCAACTTCTTAAAGAAAACAGCTTTAATGATATTGATTCATGCTATTGTATATTTAAGAAGTGAATTGTTTCATGTATAATTTATTTTCTAGGTGGCAGATGCGATTTTGGGTAATCAAATGTTTTCTCATTATGATAGAGCAGCCATTGCTCAATTGTGTGAGAAAGCTGGATTATTACAACGTGCTTTGGAACACTATACTGATCTTTATGACATCAAAAGAGCTGTTGTCAGTACGCATTTATTGAATCCTGAAGTAAGTATGTTACAAGAAGTAACATTCTCAGTGTGTTTTTCAAATAAGTCAGTGGTTTTATTTTAGGATGTATCCCTTCAGATTTACTGTAACTAATTGTACAACTTCCAAAATGTGAATGACCCCTTGCTAAACGGAATTTTAAACCTGTCTTTAACAAAAATAATTGTGTGCTTGTAAGCTTTTAGAAACATACGTATTTGCCATCAGTTATTTTTTGGGATATAGAAATATTTGGGACTTTCATTTTTCTGCACATGCTGCACCTTATCGTGAAAATGAATAGTATGTTACTCGAATCTTCGCGCTAGTTGAGTACCTGTCACCAAGAGTAAAGCTTAAATGTTTTCCCTTCATTAATTTGATTGACTTTCAAGTAACAACTAATGAAACGTTTGTTAGTCTCATATATGACTAGTTTCATCTGATACTGCTCGTTTGATATATGAACCGATTATTTGAAGTAGCTGCACTTGCAGTTATTTAATGTCTTTATATTTAATGGCATTTAGTTTATGCTATGGAAGTTCACTTATGTTTTATTCCACTTTATGTGTATTCATCGCTTCTCATTGTGTGTTAAATCTGTTTTCATGATTTTTCACAGTGGCTTGTCAACTACTTTGGTTCACTTTCTGTGGATGATTCATTGGAATGTCTAAGAGCTATGCTACAAACAAATATAAGACAAAATCTTCAAGTTTGTGTTCAGATTGCTACAAAATATCATGAACAATTGGGAACAAACGCTTTGATTGAAATATTTGAGTCGTTTAAATCATTTGAAGGCTTGTTTTACTTTTTGGGATCAATTGTTAATTACAGTCAGGAACCTGAAGTTCATTTCAAGTATATTCAAGCTGCATGTAAGACTGGACAGGTTAAAGAAGTTGAACGCATATGTCGTGAAAGCAACTGTTATGAACCAGAACGGGTTAAAAATTTCTTAAAGGTAATGGTTTTTTTTACAGTAGTGGCTAATGTTCTTCTAAAATCAACATTCACCACGATATAATAATGCAGTGTTGGTATACTTCAGTGTCTTCCTATACATTCTCCCCTAGGAGAGTTGATTATTAGAAGCATACAACACATTTGAGGTATTATTGTCGTATAATTTAGAAGTAAATGCTGCGCGATTTACTTTGGTTTTTCATCTATTGCAAATAACTATCGAATTACCGCTGCTTACTAAATAAGTGATAGACAAGTAGCTGAATTCACTTCCTTGAACGAAATATTGATAGATACTCTTGCTAAAAGTGGATATCCTTTAAAAATTTTAAACAGGTGTAGAAGTCAATCAGTCTATAAACCTACAATCCATACCGCCCCTAAGAAAAATGTTTTCATCAAATCACCATATGACGGGGAAATAAACAGTAGGATTTTGAGACAAAGGTTGAATTCGATCCGTCGAACCTACTATGTATCCCAGCTTGTAATTGTGGAAAAAGCTAAACGTATGCTTCACTGCAAACCTCAAAAGTGCACAAGTGACTATATCACATCCCACACTATTTACCAATTTTTGTGTGTGTGTGGTCACACATACATAGGGAGGAGTAATCGCGCTTTGCATGTGAGGGTGGAAGAGCATATCCCAAAATGACTAGAAAAACAAATGAGCTGTGAAAAACCAATATATGCAGGTGTCAGACTACCAACTCCGTTTATAGCCAAACACCTAATCGAGATGAACCATAAGATTGATGTTAACTCAGCCTTTTAAGGTCGTCTATAAAAACGGTCAAGGGCGCTTATTGAAATACGCCGAGGCTATAGCCATTCGTAAACTTAAGCCCCCCCTTTTGTGTATTCAAAAGCAGATTATCATTACTCCTAACCTACCTTGGTTATCCTTATTTGATTGCATTACTAAAAGTTGTGTTAATCATTCTTAAATCTTTTTTGTCACTTTGTTTAATTTAACATTTTCATATATATATCGACTTGACAAGTAAATGTGTGATCAGATTGTTCGAAATGTATAGCTCAAATACATCACATTTTTCAAATAATCTCAGTCTTCCTGTAACGCTATCCAAATTTATAAAAGGGACTAATTGTTCTAAATTCTAATATTACTTTTTTTTGACTATCAACTGGGTTTAATTTATCCTGATTAGAGTGTTGTTTTAATTTAATCGTCAGAAATAATGCAAACTGATTAACAAGCCTTTTGAGCACAACCTTTTTGCTCCACTTGAAGCCCACAGGATGAGTGATTTCCCACGCGTCATAAGCATTTACTATGGCATTTTAAAATTATTAATATCCAATTGGATTAAATGAGGTTTTTAGTGACTATAAGTGTTTTTAGGTAGCCATATACAGATCAGAGATTCAAGTATTATTCCTATACTACTATTATCGTTGACGATGTTTTTCCTCGCTTTATTGTTGTTTTTTGTGCTGCTGAGAGTAGCAACAGCCAAAATCAGGTGTACTTGTATACAATTCTTAGTTGATTAAGTGAAACTGTCTGTGTATCTGCTCAAACATGATAATTTTGGTCTTGATAGATCTTTTTTTACGTAACGTTACATTTACTTTTCATCTACAGGAAGCAAAACTTACGGATCAACTGCCGCTTATTATTGTCTGTGATCGGTTCGACTTTGTGCACGATCTCGTGCTTTATTTATTCCGTAACAATTTACAGAAGTATATTGAGATTTATGTGCAGAAGGTTAACCCAGCACGCTTACCTGTGGTGGTTGGTGGTCTTTTAGACGTTGACTGTTCAGAAGATGTAATCAAACAATTGATGGCAGTTGTTCGTGGTAAGTCTTGTTTTTTATATATACGCATGAAAAGTGTTCCTGACGCAGATTAACACTTTGTATTATTTTTGTTTTAGGTCAATTCAATACTGATGAACTTGTTGCTGAAGTAGAAAAGCGTAATCGACTGAAACTACTACTTCCATGGCTGGAATCACGTGTGCATGAAGGATCTGTTGAACCTGCCACGCATAATGCTCTTGCGAAAATTTATATTGATTTAAATAACAATCCTGAACGTTTCTTGAGAGAAAACCAATACTATGATAGTGCTGTTGTTGGCAGATATTGTGAAAAACGCGATCCACATTTGGCATGCATAGCTTATGAACGTGGACATTGCGATCAAGATCTAATTCGAGTATGTATTTCATAAGACTGTTTCTTTATAAAATTTTATAATAAGTGGAGAGATGTGTAAACACATTTGTAATCTACAAATTATTTTATAAACCGACAGGTGTTCACATATTTTCTTATAGAAGTCAATCATCTTGTTACTTAAAAATAAAGGCTTTTCAGCATATTTTTTGTTTTACCTTTTTAGGTTTGTAATGAGAATGCATTGTTCAAAACTGAAGCTCGTTACTTAGTTCGACGAAAAGAGCCTGAATTGTGGGCAGAAGCTTTAAGTGAATCTAATACTTATCGTCGGCAGCTAATCGACCAGGTTGTTCAAACAGCACTTTCTGAAACTCAAGATCCTGAGGAGATATCCATTTCCGTGAAGGCGTTCATGGCCGCTGATATGCCAAATGAGCTCATTGAACTTCTTGAAAAGATTGTATTGGACAATTCCATATTTTCAGATCATCGAAACCTTCAGAATCTCTTGATTCTGACAGCAATTAAAGCCGATAAAAGTCGTGTTATGGAATATATCAGCCGTTTGGATAATTATGATGCCCCTGATGTAGCTAATATAGCTATAAACAATTCGCTTTTTGAAGAAGCTTTTGCTATTTTCAAGAAATTCGAAGTGAATACATCAGCTATACAGGTAGGTGTTTCATACTTATCAACGGATATCGTTTGTTTATCCACACCTTGCCTAGTAGTTTTGAAGGGGAACATCACATTTGTAAGCTGTTGTCATGCCTTCGCTTATGCAGCGCTAATTTACGTTCATAAGATTTCTAGATCAGGTGTAGAGTTAAGATATCAATTCAAACTAACACTATTGCTATGTAGTGACTTTTAATTTTCGCTACCTCCTTACTATTTGTTGATCATACAATAGTATCTATTTTTTCAAATTCTCGATTTTTACCCGTTATTAGTTTAGAAAACAATCCATCTTTTGTTTTGTATTCCAGTTGCAGATTTAATAGTTGATGTGTTCATACTAAGTATCGTGTCACATACGTTGTTATACTGTATTGTCTTCAATTCTTATACCTCATGTGAATCAAACGTCATGTTCAACTACTCTTCGATGGACTTCTAGACAAATACAGTATAAGCTACTGATCGATATGATTCGCTAGGATCCACTAATAGGTCGAAGTGATCTAGACATCGTTTAGCAGTTATGCTCGTTTGACGTCGAATACATTCAATGGTGTAGCCGGATCTATTCATTTCAAAGGGGCAAATCAGTTCAAATCACCACATTTATCTTTAAGTTGTAGTTTTCGATTTCAGTTGTATTGGTGCCTCTTTGACGGGGGGGGGGTCTTTTAGTGTCTCACAACAGTATTTGGGTAGCATTTCATGAGACATTTAAAGATTCACGGATAATCTCCATCCAGGCATTAATGAAAACAAAACACGTAGGTCGGCGAAGAGTCTCTTTTCGGCAAATTCATTTTTCTTAACTGTATTGTTTGTGACAAATCACCTTTGGTACTACCCTAATTTCATTAACACCTAATTTTCTTGACTCGTATTACCAATCTTCACGTGTTTAGTTAAAATAACCATAACCAATTGTAATTTTGTTTGACAAACTAAATGTACACATACATACAAAATAACACATATATTTGCGATTGTACAGCTAAGAAAATGAATTCACCGAAAAGAGACTCTTCGCTGATCTACATTTAAAGATATATTAAGATTGACGGTGTGCAATGGCTTCTGTTATTGACGTGCCATTTGATGAACCGATGCTTACTTCTGACCTAACGAAAGACCTTATACAGAATATTAAGTGTGAGGTGGTTAAATTGTCGCGTCACACTTTTCGAGCGGCAAATAATCATTACTGGTTGAAAATCTCGCCTAAAGGCAGTTAGTAGTATTATGTTCAGCGTAGTTAAGTAAAAGCATAACTGATTGTTGTAAAATTTCTTAAGTATCAATTCAATTCGTGTAGAAAATATGCAGTATATTGATGTAAGATTTTAAAGGTAAAATACACACGAGACACCACTGTGTCTGTTAATTGTTGTTACGCAGTGTGAGAAAGTGGGTCAGTTTTCATAACTTAAGATCATTTTTTCTATTGTCTGTATTAAACTAAGAAAAACTGTCTCTGAATAAAGAAATTTTGTACTTTTATGTTTCTTTTTAGGTTCTAATTGATCATGTCAAGAATCTTGATAGAGCGTACGAATTTGCTGAACGCTGTAATGAATCAGCTGTCTGGAGTCTTCTAGCTCATGCACAGTTGGCTCAAGGCTCTATTAAGGAAGCCATTGATTCATATGTGAAGGCATCTGATCCCAGTCGATTCCAAGCAGTATCTGAAGCTGCTTCCAATTCTGGGAATTGGGAAGATTTAGTTCGCTATCTCCAAATGGCAAGGAAAAAGACTCGTGAAACATTCATTGAATCAGAACTTGCTTTTGCCTACGCAAGAACAAATCGTTTGTCAGATCTTGAAGAGTTCATTTCAGGTCCAAATCATGCTAACATAACTGCTGTAAGTGTTTATTTCTTTTTCATCGCCTTACTCATCTTGTTTTAGTGAAACGGATTTTACAAATCATTCTTTATTATTTTTTTCTTCAGGTGGCTGATCGTTGCTTTGATCATCAGTTATATGAGGCAGCAAAAATACTCTACTCAAATGTCAACAACTACTCTCGCTTAGCAATAACTTTGGTTCACTTAGGTGAATACCAAGGATCTGTGGATGCTGCTCGTAAAGCCAATTCCACACGCACCTGGAAAGAAGTGTGTTTTGCTTGTGTAAATCATAAAGAATTCCGATTGGCTCAAATGTGTGGTCTACATATCGTTGTGCATGCAGATGAATTAGGCGATCTTATTAATTACTATGAACAACGTGGTCATTTTGATGAGCTTATTCAACTTTTGGAAGCTGGTTTAGGTTTAGAACGTGCACATATGGGAATGTTTACTGAATTGGCAATATTGTATTCCAAATTCAAGCCTGAAAAAATGCGCGAGCATTTAGAGCTTTTCTGGTCTCGAGTTAATATTCCAAAGGTAATTCAATCAATTTCTTTGTATATGCTCTTTTTTGCAAATGATAGCTTAAAAGTATTTTTCATTAGTCACATGTCATTATGTCCTATTCCCCAGTTCCTTTGTGTTTCTAACCTGAAAACAGATTAGAGCAGTGCATGTATTGTCATATTGGAAGTGTTTGCTGAATGTCTTATAGCTAAGAGGATGTGCAAAAGAAAATAAACCGCACATGTCGTGTATCCGGGTAACCGAATTTCCCATTTTTCAAATGATCTCATTTTTTGAGTGATGACGATTCCTATCATATCTGGTGAGTGGTATGGGGAGTCAAATGAACGCATCTTCAATTATGTATATCAATGAAGCCTTTTCAGGTTTTGGATACTAAGTTGGAGAGCGTGTCTGTGCTCATTATTGCATTGTGCCAATGACATTTTTTAATCTGAATGTCGTAAAGTCATCAGGTAGATCTATATTCCTGCGAACAGGGTCAACCTCCAGTTTACGAGTGAAGATATCCATTCTATTTCGCCGGTTGCACCACATCTAAACATATAGCCTTGTGTGATTTTGAAGGCTTATCTCTGCTAAAGACGATTTTGGACACACATGAAGCATCACTAACTGATTAAAGTTATATCGACCGCGTACTGTGAGTTGTAAGTCTGCATCACCTACAATCTCCTCCAGAGTTAATTCAAGAATATCATGCATACCGAATTCTAAGTGATAATCTATATCGGTTAACTCAAACTACGATTCGGAAACCATGGGAAGAAACGGTTGTGCGCTCTCACTGTGGTGTCTTTTATACACTAACTGGTAATAGGTCATTGTCATAATCCAACCCAGTCATCCTTACCTTTCTTCTAAAATTTTTTTCCTTCACGTTCCCCAGTGGAACATAGGACTTCAAGCTGGTGGCCTGAAGTTTCTGTAGCAGTGTTTATTTTACAGGATGGGGTTGCTAGCCTCATGCCCAACCTTTCCTCTTTACGAGCTTTATTTTTGGCTTAGTGAGGTAAAGGAGTTCGTCGGCTGGGGAATCGAACCCCGGACCATGTGCATGGTCGGCGAGCGTCCTAACCGCTGTGCCACCGACGCACCTCTTTTAAAATTGGTCTTATTTAACCAGTCGTACGATGTGAAGAATGTTGAAGTGATATCTATTGTGTTTTCGAAAAATGATATTACTCAAGTGTTGGATTAAACAACTCAACATCTCTCCAACACTAACTACTTTATGAAGAATTGAAGTCATTCGCGCTACCCTTGAAGATTGAAGATGAATGTTGTAGTTAATCTGCTCATAATCATGATTTAACATATGTTGACTGTCATAAAGTTTTATACCTTTGCACGGCTCATAAGGCCGTATTCGCTAGCTTATTTAAGGCTTTTCAATACAGCACTTTATCCACTATGTTTAGGTCACTTGAAGTTATCAGTCAATTTAATAAATAGAAACGTCCTAAGCTGAGGGACAGAGCAGAGTTTTATAAAATTCTCCAATAAGAAACCGAATTTCCAAGTGTATTATTTTTATTATTCTACTTGTTGATTATTTTAGGTCCTTCGTGCTGCTGAACAAGCTCATCTGTGGTCAGAGTTAGTATTTCTCTATGATAAATATGAAGAATATGATAATGCTATTCTCACCATGATGAGTCATCCTACTGAAGGATGGCGAGAAAATCACTTTAAAGACTTGATAACACGAGTCGCGAATTTGGAATTATATTACAAAGCTATTCAATTTTATTTAACATATAAACCATTGCTTCTCAATGATTTATTAATGGTTTTATCTCCTCGCCTGGATCATACACGTGCAGTGAATTTCTTTATTAAAGCTGGGCATATTGCACTAGTCAAGCCTTATTTACGCTTTGTTCAACAAAATAATGCAAACAATAAATCTGTGAATGAGGCATTAAACGATTTATTGATTGAAGAAGAAGACTATCAGGTAACTTTTTCTTTTTAAGCTTTGTTTTTAAAATTTCAACTTTTGTTATTTTATGCTTTTAGTGTTTCAAGTAAATTTTTCCCCTATTTTCTTTTAGGTTTGTAAGAATTTCCGGTATTTAGTTTTTCTTATCTCATCCAACAGTTGTACGACAATGCTGCATGTCAAGTAATGCACAACGGGAAACTTATGGAATCCTTCAAAGTAAGGACGGGAGTAAGACAAGGCTGCCTACTATCGCCAATGATTTTCCTGATTGCAGTAGATTGGATAATGCGACAGACAGCGGGCAATGAGGACCCTAAGGAAAAACTTGGAGGATCTGGACTTCGCCGATGATATATGTCTGATTTCCCACAAACTGGAAGATATGAAAGTGAAAACCAACAAGTCGGCAGAAGAAGCATCAAAGATAGGACTTCAGGTGAACATAGATAAAACAGAGGTGATGAAGATTCCTGGCCAACACCAACAGCGACAACAACAACAGACAACAATCAGCCAGCATAAATGGGAGGATCCTGAAAGAAACAACCTCCTTTACTTACCTACCGACCTGGGAAGCATCGTTTCAACTACAGGTGGAACTGACGAGGATATCAAAGAAAGAATCGGGAAAGCTAGACAAGCTTTCATTATTCTCAAGTCTGTGTGGAGGTCAGTAGCACTCAGCATGAAAAATAACATCCGGATTTTCAACTCCAATGTGCAGTCAGTGAAACTATACGGATCAGAGACTTGGCGCGTCATACAGAGCATCTCAAACAAGCTACATACCTTCATTAACAGTTGTCTTCACTCAATACTCAAGATCAGATGGCCAGAAAAGATCAGCAACAGGGATGGATCTCTGGCAATGAGCGAACCAACCCAGCAGGAACCGATTGTGAAAGAAATAGGCAGGAAGAAATGGATATGGATTGGATTGGCCATACTCTGAGGAAACCATCAAGTGGCATCACTAGACAAGCCATTGCTCGAGTGGAACCCGAAAGGGAAGCGGCGCGTTGGTCGTCAGTGGGAGGGTGACTTGGAGGAGGTCATGTGCAGAGGAGCTGAAAGCATGCGGGCAGACTTGGAGCCAGGTGAAAACTCTAGCAGAGAACCGAACGAAGTGGAGTCACGCGGCTCAAGCCCTATGTTCCTCTAGGAATTAAAGGAAATAATAATATCGTTTTCCATTCAGTTGTGCTGATAATAATTAACCATTTTACATGAGAATTTTCAAAGTTTTAGGATATACTGTTTTAAACTTCTGTTCTGTCAGCAGTTAATAATATACATACATATTTGATTCTGTACACTCAATATTTCTTCATATTTATTGTATGAGGATATTATTATTTCGAATTATATTCCTTCAATATTTTTAGGCTTTAAGACAGTCTATTGAAACTCATAGTAACTTTGATCATATTGCTTTGGCACAACAATTGGAACGTCATGAACTTATTGAATTCCGTCGTCTTGCTGCTCTACTTTTCAAAGGTAGCAATCGATGGATGCAAAGCATTGAATTGTGCAAACGTGACCAGCTGTATGCTGTAAGTTCAAGTTCATACTTAGTCATTTATTGTACCGTATATTATATAAGTGTTTTTGAAAGGTTGTTTTCCTAGGAAAAATTATCTTTTATAATTCATGTAGTCATGAATCTGAAATGCAATGAGACATAAATAAGCTTATTCATGTAATTTAGAATCACATGTACTTCAAAAATGAGAAATAGATATGTTTCCATCTGTTTGATGTGTTTGTTGATATATTTTGACGTAGTTTATTATTATTATTACATCAGAGGCATTTAAATGGTACACTTCTAATGATGGACGTAGATACATTTTCACATTATTTGAGGGTTGCCCCACCGATAGCTGCGCTACCTTGACGTGGTGGTCGGGCTTGCACATCACGCTGGCTGGAACCAATGTTCCTGCAGGTCCTACCATGCCAGGAAGAATGTTACGATAGCAATTAGACTAAAAGCAGTTACCGGCATTGTGTAAGAATCTTTCTTACACTATGCTGGGGATCTGAGGGCGAAGTCGTACTGCTGGGGAACAGAGATGTAACAGCAGTGGGTTATTTCCCTCAGTTGACCAGCTGTGCTGTCTCCTTACTCCGGAGAAAGGGGTTAGAAAAGGTCGACCCCCGAAATTGTACATCCCGACTTACTCTACGGTGGTCTGTAACCGGCGGTAAGTTTACTAATACGGAACCAATCCCAGAAACCAGTTCATACAGGGCATGTGTTACCGGCCTCAAGCAGTTGTCTCCTGGGCTCTGCAGTCACGCAACACTAACCCTCTCACTGTTTCAGGTACCCGAAGAATCAATCAACTTCCACGGTGTGGGCAGTCGGGAAGTAACAACCGCCCACACACTTCCAAAAGCACACGAAGCCTTTCCGAACATCAATCACCTTTACTCACATCACCTTCCTCATCTTGCTTCTCTACTACATTTAGTACTATTCTGCAGGCTGGTGAGTCAACTTCACTTTCACTCTGTGACAACAAACAACGGTGGGAGCCATAGAAACATCCCAGATAGTCTCTTAAAGACACGTTGCCAACTTCATATAGGAGCATTTAACGTCAGGACCCTCTACCAAATCGGAAAACAGGCATCACTAGCAAGAACTCTGGCATATCAAGCCATAGATGTATGCTGTGTTTCGGAGACACGCATACAAGACCCGAGTGTGGTCATTCATTTAACTTCACCCAGTCAACAAAGTGAATCTGCAAAATTCACTTTAAGGGTGTCGGGAGACAGACAGACATTTGAGGGTTGATAAATTTTTTGACGTCTACCCATTTGTAACTTCCTTCTTGATAGCGGCACTGTAATGTAACAGTATCAACTTTCTATGGCTTGAACATGGTATGTCTTGGGGAAGCGAAACCTTTGGTAAATCTTGGACACTATGTCACTTTGTAATTCTCTATTAGTTATCCTGTAAAACTAAGTCCCAGAGTTAAGAAGTCGCGTTTAACCTAACGGTGAACAAGAAATTGAGTTTAGAATGTCATCTTGTAGATAATCTTGTTTCATTGTTCGCTTTCGAGGACTGAGTTTTTCTCTTGGAAGTGTATGGCTGAAACTATCTGGTCCTTGGAGAATATATGTACTTTGTCCTTCAGTCAGTAATCAGGTCATTGTTATTGTTCTCTCTATGAACACGCTATTTTTTCCTAACTTCGAGCTTTGTTTTCCCCGTGTGTATCATTCGTCTTTGTTTTCACCAATACCTGTTTCTAAAACTGAGTCAGTCGTTCTTTCGACAACTTAACTGGTACAGAGTTCAGTTATTAGCACTTTTGTAGACGATTACAAACAGGCATAGCAATTTCAAGATAATGAAGTAATACACCGTGTATGTATGTATATGTATATTGTATTTTGTTTAGGACGCTATGCAATATGCCTGTGATTCCCGAGATCCTGAAACAGCTGAGGAATTACTACGCTGGTTCCTATCTGAAAACCTTCCCGATTGTTTTGCCGCTTGTCTTTATCGTTGTTACGATCTCCTACGTCCAGATGTTGTCTTAGAGCTTGCTTGGCGCAATGGACTTGTCGATATGGCAATGCCTTTCCTGATTCAAACCCTGAGAGAATTAACAACTAAGGTATGTCATTGAGTATTAATTATGTATTATTATAATTGTATTAATGCCTCTCTCACAATTACATTCTGAGAACTTCTAGTTTATTGGCATTGCTGGTTACTGTTGATGTATTTATTTTATGTATTAATCTCTGTGTACCTGTTCTGTACTACGTATTTTTCAAATTCTTAATTGAATTGTTAAAATTAGTTTGTCTTAATACACAAATCAACTATACTTATTTTTGAAATGCTTAACAATATTTAAATTTCGTACTAGGTGGATCGTTTAGAACGCTCTGAACAAACTCGTGCTGCTGAAGAAGAAAAAGCAGAACAAGCAGTTAATCCATTGGTGATGCGTAAGTTGTTTTTCAAAGTTTATGTTCTTCATGTACATATAATAAAACGTTTTAATATTGATTCAACAAATTCGGCATTTAGGCATATATTAGTTAGGAGTGAAATAATAAATAGTCAAATGAGGATCAGTAATTGTAAAATATATATTTTATTATTATTATTGTTCCCTTGGGTTCCTAGTGGAACATAGAGCTTCAACTGCACGTCTCCACTTGCCTCTGTCTTCTGCTGTACTTTCCACCTGCATCCATGCTAGTCCATACTCTTTCAACTCCTCTTCACACAATCTCCTCCACTCGAGCAATGACCTGATGCGCGATGTCACCTAGCGGTCTCCTCAGCGAGTGTCCAATCCACTTCCACTTTCTCCTGCATATCTGTTGGGCGATTGGTTCTTGTTTTGTTTCTTCCCATAGTTTCTTGTTGATGATTCTTTCCGGCCCGGCCATCTGATCTTCAATGTAGAGCCAGCGAAGACAGTTGTTGATTAAGGTCTGCAACAGGCTGTTGGAAATATTCTTTGTGACCCGCCCACCAAGTTTCTGATCCGTATAGAAGTACTGACTGACTTGACGCTGTTTGTGTTGAAAATCCGACGGCATTTAGTTGTTGATGCTGGCTGAGTGACGAAGATTTCCAGATTGGTTTCAGGTTGATCCATTATTTATCATATCAATAGGAATTCAAAACCTACAGCTCTCTATATTAGCATAAATTACGTTTGTAATACACAGTTTGGTTTTCGTCAGTGTAAATCTCAGTTCAGTTGGTATTGAGATTGTTGAGATTGCATGCTGGTTAAGTGGATTTTAATAAAGCTCTTTTAATATCTTAAGTAGAATTTATTAGAAAGTTATTGCTTTACTCACTGTTGATTGATTAGAACACTGGGTTTTTATTTTAAATTCAGTTTTCTCACCGAAATAAACTTACAGTATAACGATTTTCCGTACTCAAATACGTGAAGTATCCTATAGATTTACAACAACTACATTAGTTGTATCTACTATTCTTTAAATTGATGATTAAATTAAATAATCAATTGGTATTTTCTTTTCCACTTTTTAGGAAATGAACCTCAATTAATGCTACCTGGACCGGGAGGAGCTATTCCAACCGCCTTGATCCCACCAGCTGGTGCACCACCGTTGGGCTTATTTGGCGTTCCTGGAACACAGATGTATTACCAAACTAATGGACCATCTTTTTAAGCTATAATATCTAGCTGTTGTGATATACATGTTATCAGACTCTTGTCTGTATATTATTATTTATATTGTTTTTATTTTAGCCAAATTTGTCTTGGTTTCTTGTTTCTGAATTTAAATGTGCCGAAATTCCCCGTATTTGGCAGTTGGCTGTAGAAGGTTAGTTCTGTTAACTGAATTATTTTTTTATTCAAAGCATTTGATTTGTATTAGCATTTCTATTTATTTCACTCATCACAATTCACACACACAAAGTAAAACTGCATTACTTTGATATACCGATTAACTTTCGCAGAATTAGTTTATTTTCAGGTATCGGGAAGCCGTGACCAGTAGCGTACAGCAGGTTGAAGATGAGGCAGTAACTCATCGAAAAAGACATTGAGAAATGGTCACGCTATGTCGTGAATTGGCAGAAGTTAGAATTCATGGGCTGGCCATTGGATCGGGTCCCAGTGGCTCAATGGTCTACGAGCTCGCTGGCGTTTTAGCCAGAAGGTTCTGGGTTCGAACTCTGGTGGTGGGTGCGTATTGATGAAGAGTCCCAAACTAGGCTGACAAAACAGCTGTCCAGTACTCCCTGCAGGTTTTCCAGTGGTTCTCTAACTGATTTCAGCTCATGATGAAATCCTCCAAGCAATTAGTCTATTTCAGGACTTCATCACGAGCTGACATTAGTTAGAGAACCATTAGAAAACCTGGGAGTACTAGACAGCTGTTTCGTCCTAGTTTGGGACTCTTCACCAGTACGTACCACCAGGATTCGAACCCAGGACCTTCTGGTTACAAGGCGAGCTCGTATACCATTAAGCCACTGGGACCCGTTGCAATGGTTAGGGTTAGGGTGGGTGCGTACTGATGAAGAGTCCCAAACTAGGACGAAATAGCTGTCCAGTACTCCCAGGTTTTCAAATGGTTCTCTCACTAATGTCAGCTCATGACGAAGTCCTGAAACCAATCAAATCCCTACAAACCAACACTTGAATAACAATTAGTTTATTGTTTATGAATAAGTATTAGTTTATCAGGGTAGTGTTGAAACAAAATGGTATTCCCATTTGTATAATTAATTTCATATCAAATGTAGATACCATAAATTACGTCTCAGACGTCGATTAAAGTACTGATTTACATTTTAGTATAATTATTGACGCTTTTAATCATATTACCTCGCACTTCATTTCCATAAATGTACTGTTCGCATTATTGTTGGCATAACAAGTATGCTCTATAAAAGCTTTTACGTAGATTGGTTGTCTTCATTTCCACTTGAATTGATTTTCTGGTGACCTGTAAGTCGTAGTAGTACTTGTTGTTGTAGTGTTCAAATTGTGGTTTAATTTTTCATCGGCACTAATTTTCAGCGTTTTGGTCAGGAATCATTCAGTTGAAGTTTACCATTTTAATTTAATTAGGTAGAAATGAAGACAACCGGATAGGAACCTACGCGTGTCACGTCAACAATAATATGCAGACAGCATACTTATGGAAATACAATGCGAGATATTAACTATAAGAGCGTTAATGATAAATAACACTAAGACTTAATTTTTGAACATTAAATTTGTCTAATTTTCTGCACATTTTCTTGCTGACATTTTGTGTTGGAGTATACTGTTATTTTGCATCAAACCAACAAGAATAAAATCTACAGTTTACAGTGTGTACATTCAATTGTGAGACTTCCCATCACAGTTACTAACAGCTTAGGAAATAATGAAATGAGAACGCATTTAAAAAAAATTCTACTGAGCAGAAGCTAAGTATCGATATTGTAGTTTAAGGAAATACTCATGAATACAATGTAACTTGAACTGTGCAAACTTCTGTCTTGAGATTCAGTTAGTCAGTTCAGTCATCATGCGATGGTATAAGTTTAACAGAAGTTTTTAGCAGTAAAACTGTCTTCAGAAGATAACACTAATTAACCAGCACTATACCGTAAAAAAGGGATTACCTAATAATACACAAGAAAGAATTTAGAAGTGATTTGAAATCAATTAGTAAATAAGGTACACTTATTGTGTTGTCAATAATTAAAATAATGTCAGGGTTTTTAATCTCTTGTTTAGGTATGTGCAGTGTAGTGCAACATAAGAATTAATGGTGTTGATTCCGTGCATATATCATCTTCTAGTGTAGGTTTGTATAGAAAATGTTGCAGGATGCTATAACTGGTGTCTGATGAAATAAGTGGCAAAAAGCTTCTTGTCTTTCTTAGTTGTGTCATATACTGATTTAAACAAATAGTAATATATATATATATATATATATATATATATATATATATATATATATATATATATATATATATATTCTAAACGACAATTTTAATTTAGATAAAGCAATAAGAAGACGTAATTTGTCTGAATCGTGTAATGTATTTGCGCTTACAACATATTTCGAACAATCCGATCACACACAGACTTGTCATAGGAATATATATGAAACTAATGAAGAGGTAAGAGGTGAGAAAATAGACTTAGGTCAAGTTAAAAGGACATATTCAAGGTCAAAATAACAATGAAGACCACTAAACCAAATAACAGAGGTATTGGTACATCTGCCCTGACTGGTATCAAAACAAAGTTTACCAAGGAAGGTTTGATGTGATGACGAATTGTTTTCAAACGCATAAAGGTGGTTTAAACTTCCAAATTGCCAACTAGGGCTTCCACAAACTTTAGGATACTCCCCAAACACGTTTTATAGATAGGTTTAAATGATCTGTTAACGTCAATTTTATGTTTCGCAATACAAGAGCTAGGTCTCCTGTTCTCACCGTTTATATGTTCTGAAGATTCCATTTGTTTCTGGAGCGATCTAGGAATATGCTTTGAAGCCCTTACTTGCAGAGATCGATGAGTCCTCCCTATGTGTGTATGTCCACACGTACATTCAAATTGGCAAATACAGTGGGACGTGACGTCATTTGTCGCATGTTCGAAGGGTTTAGATAGACATAATGGCTTTACATTCTCTACTATTATGATATTAGCTGCATAAAAAGTCTTTTTAACAGCAGCGTTCAGTCTTTGTCTATTTATCAAGCTGCTTTGATGCCCAATGTAGTAAGGGCTTCAGAGCATATTCCTAGATCGCTCCAGAAACAAATGGAATCTTCAGAACATATAAACGGTGAGAACAGGAGACCTAGCTCTTGTATTGCGAAACATAAAATTGACGTTAACAGATCATTTAAACCTATCTATAAAACGTGTTTGGGGAGTATCCTAAAGTTTGTGGAAGCCCTAGTTGGCAATTTGGAAGTTTAAACCACCTTTATGCGTTTGAAAACAATTCGTCATCACATCAAACCTTCCTTGGTAAACTTTGTTTTGATACCAGTCAGGGCAGATGTACCAATACCTCTGTTATTTGGTTTAGTGGTCTTCATTGTTATTTTGACCTTGAATATGTCCTTTTAACTTGACCTAAGTCTATTTTCTCACCTCTTACCTCTTCATTAGTTTCATATATATTCCTATGACAAGTCTGTGTGTGATCGGATTGTTCGAAATATGTTGTAAGCGCAAATACATTACACGATTCAGACAAATTACGTCTTCTTATCGCTTTATCTAAATTGATAAAGGGAACTAACTGTTTAAAAAAACAAAACAATTTTAGCGTTCTTTGTTCTATAAGTGTTTTTATTGTTTTTTGTGTTTTATTCTTTTAGGCGCCTCTTCCTCTTACTCTCGAGTAAAAGAGTTGTGTGTGTTTTATTTGCAGAGATCGTAGCCTTCTTCATCAATGATTAAAATATATATTGTCTTTAACTGTTCCGTTGGTAGTAAAAACTCATGTATCTTGAACCCCTATGTTTTATTGATCAACATTACGCATATATACATATATACATATAGTATGATTACAAATGTCTTATTATTGTAATTCATTTTACGGGTGACATCCAGTTGTGGATCTGACTATTAAACTACTAATGATGATTATGTTTGCATATATGTCCTAAACGGTCGCTGTTTTTTGTTTTTTTATTATTTTGACCTGAATACTACTATTCATTTATTATTACTATTATTATTATTATTATGGTTCATATAAAAAAACCTTTATTCATTCCATTCAAAAATTCAGTTGTCTTCTTTCAGCTAATTCGTCGTCAAAACAATTATTTCAAATGTTTCATTACTACACTTATTCAATTCATACGCATATAAACTGCTCTCCCCCTTTCTCCCTCTTTCCTTCTCTGTCTGTCTCTTTTATTGTAATAACTTTTTACTGCATACATAGGTCATTTCCTTCTATTTCCCCCATCTCTTCTCAGAGTCAGTCGATAATCTTGGGTTTCTACGTTTCTTTTCGTGTAATAAACTTGATAGGAGTACTCATTTTCTGTCACATTATATACTATCTCATTTTATTTGAAAGTGAACAATATATTTCTTGTTTTTAGTAGTTGAAATATTGCATATATAGGTGGAGTAAAATTAAATCCTTTTATGTCTTGGTTAGTTATCCAATCATATTTGTATTTTAACTATCCACAGGTAATCAATCTTATACTAATTGCAAAATATTATTATTATTTGCTTATAATGAATGTGGTAATATCGTAACGAATCAGGAAACAAAATACATGATTACTCAGTTGTGGAATATCGATTTTCTCCTTCCTATAAGTTTGACTGTAACAATTCTCTCTCTTGCATGAAAATCTAAAACGCAACTGAATGTTTTACAAGATTTTCTTGCACAGAATTCTCATTTTAGCCTTTCTGATGGTTAAAAGGCTTTATATACATTAATCTCTTAGGGATCCTGTCTGATGACATTTTCTAATTATGTACATATGCACGCTGATATCAGTGTGTTGCTTGCTATCTACCATCGACTCTGTACTAACAGAAGGGTACTCAGGAGTAGTAGCCATTTCGAAAAGTAGTAGTTCCATGTTCAACTAATTTTGTGCAATGTCAATTTGAAGTGTGGTCACATTTTGAAGGAATCAGTGGGTTTCTCCTCTTTTGTAAACAGATTTTTAGGGTATCGGAAAGGTGAAATTAAATTTTTCGGTTTTGCTGAATAAAGCATAACTGCGCCATTCAGGCAAAAGCTATATGTTACTTTAGAGATCTTTGAACTTCTTAACTTGCAGGCAGTTAGTCGTCGTGGATTCGAATCTCACAATGCGCTACCTAATTCATCATCGATGACTGTCCTTTTTCACATAATATATAAGGGTTGCTCATACATAGCCTAGTAAATACTAAACTTATTCTGGGCGCTGAGCTTAGTTTCAACTAAGTTGGATGCTAATAAGTACGCATTCTTTTGTTTGTTCGGTATTTTAGTATGAAATAAGTAATTCATATTCTTTGAAATACATACAATAACTGAAAGCATTGGGAATAACATGACCGTGAAAAAATCTACCAGTATCCATTTCTAAGTGAAATATGACCAAATAGGACCATTGGATCGGGTCCCAGTGGCCCAATGGTCTACGAGCTCGCTAACCAGAAGGTTCTGGGTTCGAACTCTGGTGGTGGGTGCGTACTGATGAAGAATCCCAAACTAGGCTGACGAAACATCTGTCCAGTACTCTCTGCAGGTTTTCCAGTGGTTCTCTGACTGATGTCAGCTCATGATGAAATCCTCCATGCAATCAAATATGAAAGTAAAAAAAACTTCATCTTCATACTTGTCGAAGAATTGATTTTTGTTAAGTGCAACCTTCAATCCCTATCTGATTTAATGATTACTTCCTGGTGATTATCCCAGTGTGTAATGCGCTTCCTTGGAACTTTGGTCACAATGATTAGAAATATTTCTATGCAATCAAACGATATCATCTTTCTTCAGATCTAATCATCAGCAGCAGCTGCGCGGAAATGATAAATACTTACAGAACTTTGAGTAGGATGTCGGCGTCAAAAATCAGTGTTATTAACAGCAGGTAAATTGATAAGATACAATACAAACAATCAGAAGCGGAGAAAAACCGAATCATAATAAATACACAATTCAGGAATAGATAAGAGAAAACAAATTAAAAGCACGTTAGTTTTCAGACTATTAGCACGTGATTAGTTAGAAAACATGTGGTTATTTATAAACATTATAGCTAAAAACTGATTTTTAAGGAAGGCAATGATAGTATAACCAAAATATAATATTCATTTTCAAATATATAATTATATCATGTAAAGCTGTATGTGTGTGTGTGATAGCCATTCCGAAGGGCAGTTGAAGCATTGATTTTCTTTTGCAAAGTACATTTTCAAGTGTTAGATGCGGAGGAATATTATCAGTTTCAAAGCAAATTTTACGTGTCATTAGATTCCAAACAGGTAATTAAATGATCGACAGGTTTGTCATATTGTAACAACAGAAGACAAGGGCCAGGCAACAGATCGTTTATTTACGAAATCAACGCATATTTATAGATTTTCATGTACATTACTATAGATTATTGTTATCAGAAAAACACAGTCTTCTGATCGGTTGTTTTTCACAGTAAGGTAATCTTTCATCTCTTTGTGGCTGTTTCTTGAATGTCAGATAATCTATCTGCTAATTGTATCCGCCTACGCAAAGTCTGCTGTGATTGGTTGTTGAATCAGTCTTTGTTCTTATTTTTCTCACGACCCATATTGGGGACGTAAACGTTGACGTAAATTACAGTCTACCAATTTGGCTCGCCAGATACTAGCTTGCTAGACTTCTAGCTTAGTAGTTTTCCAGCCGGTCCCAAGCCCGGGTAAAGAGGGAGGGTTGGGGCGTGGTGCTAGCAACTCCACCCCTGTAAAACAACCAAATCGCTACAGAAACTTCAACGAATAAATATATTAAAAATTCTAAAAACATAAGCAATAGCCTTACTTTTCGCTGGAATCGGGGAAGTGAAATGACGCAGGCTGGTGAAAGCCTTCGGGAAGCCAGTCAGCCGATGTGCCTTCTTTCGATGAAAGCAAAAGTAAGGATGGGTACCTGGAATGTTCGTACAATGTACGAAACTGGAAAGGCTGCCCAGATAGCCGCTGAAATGAGAAGGTACAGAATAGAAGTGTTGGGAATCTGCGAAAGCAGATGGAACGGAACTGGAAGGTGCCAACTACCTACTGGAGAGACAGTAATCTTTCCGGCCACCCAGAGGACAACCACGAGCACACCGAGGGAGTGGCCATCATGATGTCACCAACAGCAGCCAAAGCTCTCATGCAGTGGGAACCAATCTCCTCCAGGATAATGACAGCCAGGTTCAACTCAAAAGGAAGGAAAGTTACAGTCATTCAATGCTATGCGCCTACAAACGTCTCAGAAAAAGAGAAGAAGGAGGCGTTCTACAGACAACTACAAGCAATAATGGACAACGTCCCAAATGGCGATATCAAAATCCTGATGGGCGACATGAATGCGAAGCTGGGAGGAGACAACACAGGAAGAGAACTCACCATGGGTCGTGAGGCCCTCGGTGAAATGAACGACAATGGTGAACTCTTCTCAGACTTCTGCGCCTTCAATGATTTGGTGATTGGCGGTAGTGTGTTCAAACACAAGACGACATGGATTTCACCAGATGGAAACACCAAGAACCAAATAGACTTCATCTCAATTTCAAGAAAGTGGAGACGGAGCCTACTGGACACAAGGTCAAGGAGAGGAGCAGATGTGGGTTCAGACCACTATCTAGTAGAAGGGACTTTCAAGGTGAAACTAAAAGCCTCGAGGATAGCTGGGGATAGGCCACAATGCAAGTTCAACCACAAAGTACACTTTCACTGCAACTGTCAGAGCAAAGCAGGAAACACTACGCGACATCACTGAAGAATCATGCGTGGAAGAACATTGGAAGTCTCTGAAGGCGATTCTCAACGAAACGTGTTCAACGGTTCTAGGAAGAAAGAAGAGACAAGACAAGGAATGGCTCTCAACGGACACTTGGAAATTAATAGAGGAGAGGAGAATGGTGAAAGAGAAAATGATTCAATGCAAGGACGGACAGGAGAAAGAGACGCTGAGCTCAACTTACAAAGCACTGGACAAAGAAGTGAAGAAGAGTGCTAGGAAGGACAAAAGACGATTCTACGACAATCTGCCACTGAAGCTGAGAAGGCAGCAGGCAAAAGGGACCTGAGGACACTATATCAGATAACCAAATCTCTATCCGGGAAGAGACCAACACAAGCGAAACCTATAAAAGACAGCCAAGGGAACCCAATTACCAAGGAAGAAAAACAGATTAAACAATGGGCGGATCACTTCAAAGGACTCTTGAACCGACCACCACCTGCAACCCGTCCAGAAATACCAACAACAGCGCAACACAACTGCAAGTTGACACCAATCCTCCAACGAGAGCTGAAGTCTTGAATGCAATCAAGCTTCTGAAAGCTGGAAAAGCAGCCGGACCAGATGGAATACCCCCTGAAGCACTGAAAGCAGACCCAGAGACGACAGCAGACATGCTGACTCCATTATTGCAAAAGGTCTGGAAGGAGGGAAAGGTGCCTACTGACTGGAGGAAAGGTTACCTCGTGAAACTACCAAAGAAGGGCGACTTAGGCCTCACTCTGCAAGAACTGGCGAGGAATCATGCTCCTATCGACGCCAAGTAAAATCCTGAGTCGCATCATCCTGGAGAGATTAAAGGACGCACTGGAGACAGAACTCCGACCAGAACAAGCTGGATTCAGGAAAGGCAAATCATGTACTGACCAAATTGCAACTCTACGCATCATCATCGAACAAAGCATGGAATGGCAATCAAACCTCTACCTCAACTTTATAGACTTTGAGAAGGCCTTCGACAGCGTTGACCGTGAAGTAATTTGGAAATTACTCGAGTACTATGGCGTACCCCAAATATTCATCAACCTTATTCAACAGCTGTACGACAACGGCACATGTCAAGTGATCCACAACGGAAAACTCAGCGAGGCGTTTGGAGTAAACACAGGAGTCAGACAAGGGTGCTTATTATCACCAATGATATTCCTAATTGTGGTGACTGACTGGATTATGCGTCAGACAGTGGGAAACGAGAAGACAGGAATATCCTGGACCGACGTGAAGAACCTAGAAGACCTGGATTTCGCGCGTGGATGATTTATGTTTGATGTCACACACAATCGAAGACTTACAAGCGAAAACCGACAAACTGGTCGAAGAAGCAACCGGCGAAGACAGGACTCCAGGTAAACATAGACAAGACGGAGGTTATGAAAATAACCAACCAACAACAGCAACAACATCCAACGTCAATCACCATCAACGGGAGGGATTTGAAAGAGGTTACTTCATTCACTTATCTAGGGAGCATTGTCTCAACTACAGGAGGAGCGGACGAGGATGTCAAATCGAGAATCGGGAAGGCGAGAAACACATTCATCAGCCTGAAATCAATCTGGAAATCTTCGTCACTCAGCATCACCAACAAAATTCGGATTTTCAATACAAACGTCAAGTCAGTCAGTTCTTCTATACGGATCAGAAACTTGGCGGGCGGGTCACAAAGAATATTTCCAACAGCCTGTTGCAGACCTTAATCAACAACTGTCTTCGCTGGCTCTACATTGAAGATCAGATGGCCGGGCCGGAAAGAATCATCAACAAGAAACTATGGGAAGAAACAAAACAAGAACCAATCGCCCAACAAATATGCAGGAGAAAGTGGAGATGGATCGGACACTCGCTGAGGAGGCCGGTTGGTGGCATCGCGCGTCAGTCCCTTGAGTGGAACTCGAAAGGGAAGCGGCGAGTGGGTCGTCGGTGCAAGGGTGAAATGGAGGAGTTCCT